TCCTGCCGCTAGACCTGCTCCAAGACATCCTGCTACGCCTCCCTGCCAAGTCGATCTGCCGCTTCCGCGCCGTCTGCATCTCATGGCACTCCCTGCTCTGCCATCCGGACTTCATCGCTGCCGCCCAAGCCCAACCTGGCCCCAGCATTGCAGTCGGCGTGTGCCACGACGGCCCTAGCAGCATCGTCCTCAGCGTCCTCAACATGGAGTCCGGCCACGTCCTCAAGCAGGTAAGCATTGACACCACAAGCTACCACGGCACGCCGCCACCGCATGGGACGCCCGGCGTGAGTCCTGAACGAGCAGTCTGTGTTGTCGGCAAGGACGGGCAGCTCCGCCTGATAAACCCTAACACCGGCGCAGTTAAACTCCTGCCCTTCCCACCGTCAACAGACCACTTGTCTACTTCGTGCACCCTTGGGCGCGCGGCATTGACAGGAGAGTACAAGGTGCTCGCAATCACGAACTCAACTAATCACGTCCGACAGATCTGCAAGATCCTTACCCTCGACGATAACGGCGTGGAGCGACGCTGGAGGGAGACGGGGAGCCCGCGGTTCAATGTGGTACTGCCACTACCGCCATGGACTTACAACAGAGAGGTTGCTCTAGTCGATGGGCTGGCCTACTTCCTGGTGTCCCCGTACCACTACAACGTACTCGCATGGATGGAGCCCAACTTGCGTCATTGCTAGATCATGGCGTTTGACCTCCAAAACGAGGTGTGGCAGCCGGATGCCCTCCGAGGCCCGGCACGCGAAAACAATGTCACCTTGGTCACACTACAAGGCCAACTCGTCGCGTGCCATGAAAACTACCAAACCTATGAGCTGTGGTTTCTTGTTGACCCTCAGCAGGCTCTATGGTCTATGCGGCAAAGGATTCTCATGCCATATCCAAAACTCCAGTCACCAATGGCGACCTCTCACGAATATTTTATCAAGCCATTAGCGGTGAGAGACGATCGGAAGATCGTCGTATGGATGCGGGTGGCCCCACCAGGGTTCAGCAACACGCTGGATGCGGTGATGCGGTATTATGACCCGAGAACCTGGGCTTGCACGGATGAAATGCATGTTACAAAGTGCAACGATGTGACCGTACACTCGTGGAGCATATTCCATTTAGGAAGAGGAAGGGGAAGAGCAGCATTAGAGAGCTAACAGTTCACTTAATCAGTAGACAACACGTCATTCATCTAGAGCATCATCTTTTCAGGACCGTATTGGTAAAGATCTGATCTGTGCATCCTTCAGTAAGAAACTTGGTGTGAAATTGAAGTATGTTTGGGTTAATTTGTCCATGCATTTCATCCGATCCATAATAGTGGTCGTATTGTAGTTCGTTTTTGGTAATATATAAGTGTATGTTAATCTGTAATTCCCTATTTTCAGATGATATTGTTCTTTAATTAGGGTATGAGCACAAAAGACCACTTCAAAATCGGAAAAGGGTATTTGGTTCCAAATTGTAATTCCACGTAATAAAATTATGGTGCGTGAAAATTCACTACTCTTGACTACGTGCGCTCTTCAATAATAAATCTTTAGATGGCTTATTGGTGTATATTTTTGTTGTTAAGACTGATTCGTTAATGATACCTATATTCACAATGCAAATTTACCAAATTTTAGTTTGATTTAATTTCCCTAAGTTGAAAGTAACTTAGATCTTGTACTGATTTTGGAATGCTTACACAAATAACAATTCCATCTATCGAAAAATATAAGACGTGTAGTTATGCATCAATTTTTTTTTCAAGAAGTTTATTCATCAAATCAATGTTTAAGAACTTTGACCTCCAGTATGTATAAGTATTGGAACTAAGGATGCAAGAATAATATCATTACATTTATCTTGCAAAAGATCTTTCGTGTTGTACATCTTTTTTCGTGGTTTGTAGGCATATCATGCACGGAGACTACACTTGCTGTATTTCTCAACATGGTGAGTACAAATCACATGGGCACATCAGCACAGATCTCACCATACATAAGTTTATTTGGTTTTACACAAATTAAGAGTGCTAGCTATAAGCATATTATGCAGACTGCTGTTGTAATATTTGACAACAGTTTCACCTGAAAAGAACTTACACATATTTCAGTGCACAGTTGCATACATGAATTCCACAACTGGTTTATGCAAGGCATGTATGAAGCAACCAATAGGATGGAAAAAAAATGTAACCGTGAAAAATATGAACTCAGTTTCGTGCAGCAGGTCACACGTACAACAATAAGCATATCCAAAAGATAAGTGTCACACATCAGGTGCGTGGCACCCGGCCCTGGTGTTTTTCGATGGCAATTCCAGTCACCCAAAGAGGACGAATTCCAAAATAAGACGAAGCACGAAAATTGCCATGCTTGCCAACTAAAGTTGTCATCCTCGCGTAACTAAACTTGTCGTCAAAGACGTTCGGAGTTGCCATGTGCTCGCACCTGACGTGTGGTAGTCATCTAAGTCCTAAACATACATAATTAAGTGTGTTGTCAGGGTTGTCCTGTTATGTTTTGGAAGATGCAAACAACCCCAACTGATTACGATATGATTTGATGGTTTGACTTTATTTGAAATTTAATTGATTAGAAATTACGAGGGGGAGAAGAACTTTTTGGCATCATGTCAAAACCAATCTAAGTATGGCGATGACGCTCGACCTCCACGCACCAATAATCAATGTTGAGTTCCTTCACCTAGACTGACATCCCGCTCTGCCTCCACACCAACTCTATAGCTTCCGCGCCATTTGCATGTCACAGTGCTCCATGCTCTGCTACCCGGATAACTTCATCACCACACACGGCCCACCACTGTCACCACCCTAGCTTGTTTGTCTCTGTAGCAGATGTGTGTCATACATGAAAGATTCTCACCTTGGGTGTCCATGGTGCCTACTGCGGGAGGGTCATCGAGAACCCTTTGTTTTAGTTGGCATCACCATCTTCTTCATGCAGTAGGGCTGCCGCCATCGGTGGGGTTGCCTACTTTCTGGTGCTCGCTAGGTACCTTGTCGGGCCTAAAGTTGACATCCATAATTGATGGATCATGGCATTCGACCTAGACAACGAGGCGTGGTGGCCAACTACACCTTGTCAGGCATCGTGGCCAGTCTCGGAGCCAAAAGATATCAGTATAATATCTAAGCCAAAAATTTGAGAGGATTGTTGTGTGGAACACGTGGTTGTGCCATCGGAGCCCGACTGTAGCTCTCAGCAAATATCATGGTGCGGTTCTACAACCCGCGAATCAGCGATTTTGAGAACAAGACACGACTAGCATATTGCATGCATGACAGGGAGTTACTAAATTACAATAGACCAGCAACACTGTCATGTAGTATAGTTGAAAAACAAAATTTATCTGGGATGGTTTCTGCGTGACACACATTCATGTGGTTCTAGAGTTCGATATTAGATCCAGGCTTATCATACAACGTCCTGGGAAATTTGTCTGAGATTTTCCATAGGGAGTCAGTGTGTTAGGTTTGGACGGTGTGGCGGCGACGCTTTCCAGGCTAATCATGCGCTTGAAGAACGAATGGATGAGAATCATCACAAGGAGACAAGGGAAAAGAGGCAAAACCTGTTCGAGGGTCCACCCTAGGACGCGTGCTGGGAGTGACCGGCCGAAAACTCATCCGGTTGCTTGACACGATCATTTACCTAGTGAAATTAATGGTCAAACTTTAACACAAAATACAAGGGAATCAGGTAACCCGGACGAAGCGAATACAAAATAAAGAGCCAAGCAATTCATCATCATAATAGAAGAGATGCAATCATAGCTACTAGTAATTGTCCAAACTATCATTGGACCATGAACATAGTGTATAACAGTGTTAATCCTTGATTTTCTCATGCATGGCTTATGAGCAACTGTCGGGAAAAAAAAAGCTCTCTCTATGAATGAATCTGTGGTTGGATGGTTAGCTGGACAGTGGTATCCCCTCCCAATAGGGGTTCAAGTCTTATACTTGACATTGGTGCTCTGATTTTTCTATATTTTTTAAGACATTTCAGCCATGTTCGTTTAGTGGGAGGAGATGTTCCTGTCAAGTACGAGACACCTGTGGTGACTTCGTCAATTTCAAGATGCTATGCTGGCTCAGTCTCTCGGGTATGCGTGTGTTCGTTCATAAATGTAAGTATATGCTCATGTATGTCAGCCACTTCGATTTCGATTGTACTGTGTTAAAAAAACTCCCGTACTAGCTAGAACCTCCACGGAGTGAATCAGTACTTGTGTTTGATATAAAGTTTCCTAATCTAGTGCAGATCTAGACGAACACGGTGGTGTCGTCAGATATAACTTGTTTGGATAAAAGAAAGAAAAAGGAAAAGAAAAAAAAACAGATATAGCTTGTTTGGTCGACTCCTTGTCGTGGACGGCGCTGAACATATTCAACACGTTTAACACAAACACAAACCCTCAAACGGCGAATCGACTGCTTTTGAACACGCTATCGGCACCGAAGACGCTATCGATTCTCTTGGTCTCTTCCCGATGGCCAACGGCGCCGCCAACCCCGAGATGGAGAAGAAGTTCCCGGCCGACGTCGAGGCCCCTGAGGCCACCGAGACGGCAGTGGACACATACCAGAAGAAGACGGAGGCGCTCTCGCTATCGGCGCCGGAGGACGACGGCGGCGGCGTCCTGCCACTCGACCTGCTCCACGACATCCTACTGCGCCTTCCTGCCAAGTCGGTCTGCCGCTTCCGGGCCGTTTGCACCGCATGGCACTCCCTGCTCTGCCACCTGGATTTCATCGCAGCCGCTCAACCTGGCCCGCGCATCGCAGTCGGCCTGTGCTATGACGGCTCTGGCGATGTCGTCGTCAGCGTCTTGGACATGGATTCTGGCCGCGTCCTCAAGCGGGTGAGCATTGACGTCACAAGCCGCCACGACACGACGCCACCGCACGAGACGCCCGACGTGAGTCCTGAACGAGCAGTCTGTGTCGTGGGCAACGACGGGCGGCTCCGGCATCAAACCACATGTCTACTTTGTGCACGCTTGGGTGCGCCGCCTTGACGGGAGAGTACAAGGTGCTCGCCATCGCGAACGCAGCTAAGCATGCGTGGCAGCAGATATGCCAGATCATCACCCTCAACGATAATGGCGGGGAGCAGCGCTGGAGGGAGACGGGGACCCCAGGGTACAGTTTGCTAGCGCCACTACCGCCATGGACTTACAGCAGGGAAGTCGCTGTGGTCGAGGGGGTGGCCTACTTCCTGGTCAAGCCGGACCACACGCTCGACGTGCAGCATGCCTGGATCATGGCGTTTGACCTTGGAGACGAGGTGTGGCAGCCGGATGCGCTCCAAGGCCCGGAGTGCAAGCACAATGTCGCCTTAGCCACACTCGAAGGCAAACTCGTTGTGTGCCATGACAACCGCCAAACCTTCATGGAGCTATGGTTTCTTGTGGACCCTGACCAGGCTGACTGGTGTATGCGGCACAAGATTGTCATGCCCTCTCTTAAGCTCTCGTCACCGGTGCCGACTTCTGGCATGTATTTCGGGAAGCCATTAGCGGGGCTAGACGACCGAATGATTGTCATGTGGATGCGGGTGACACCAACAGGCTGCAGCATCCCGCTGGACACGGTGCTGCGGTATTACGACCCAAGAACCAGGGCTTTCACAGATGGAATGCAGGTAGCAAAGTGCAGCCATGTTACTGTGCACACGTGGAGCATATTGTATTCAGGAAGAGGAGGGATCAGGAGAGCTGCATTACAGAGCTAGTAGTAGTAGTGTACTTAATCAGTGTATTGCTCAAGATCTAATATGTGCGTCCACCAATAAGAAACTTGCGTAATCTGAAGGGTGTCTGGGTTAGCGTCCGCACGGCAAGAGCCACGGTGGTTTTGTTTTTTATATGTTTTTTTTTTTTTTTGCGGCTGATCGTTTTCTATGACCTTTTCATGTAATATAAGTGTATGTGAATTCCTAGTTCTCTATTTTTGGAAGATATTGTTCTCTAATTAGCAGATGAAGACAAAATCACATGAAAATTGAAAGGCCAGTGATAGGCGCCGGCGTACCGGCCCAAATTTGGGACGATCACAGTACATCCGTCCGATTCATCTATTTACAACCATCGGATCTGACGCCCTCCTACAGTCGTCTTCTTCCCTCGTTCCTCACGCTCCCGCACGCAGAGCATCGACCCCCTCGCCTCCCCCCGACTTGCCGTCGTCGGGGCCGTCACCAACGAGCTCCGACGCGTCCCCACCCGTGGCCGTCAGGATTGCATCATGGTCGCCAGTGGGCCCCCAGCGTGGCGTCAACGAAGGATTGCAGCTCGAATGCCCCCGGTTGGTTCCAGCTCGCGGTTCTCCATGGTTCCAGCATGCCCCCAACATCACCGTCTCCGGCTCGCCATGGCCTTTGGCTTGCATCGTGCTATCCAACAAAAAATTTCTGCAAAACAAACAAAATCCTCAAGTGGTTAGTTGAAGCAAAAATATTACTAGGTTCCAGCAAATAAAGGCTCTAATTCCAGCAAAACAAATTCTGTAGAAAAAAGCTCCAGTGGTTGTAGCAAAAAAGAAACAGCTTCCAGCAAAAATATGCGCCGGTTCCAGCAAAAGCAAATTTAGCACGGAAAAGCTCCAAGGTCGATTGTAGCAAAGAAAAAACAAGCTACTTCCAGCAAAATAATATGCCGGTTCCAACAAAAGCACAAAACCGGTGGTGGCCAAAATATGGAGGCAAGTTTGCAGAAGAAATAGATGCAGGATGCAGCAAAATCCCTCGCTGGTTCCAACAAAAATCGCCACCGGTGCTAGCAAAAAAAAGGTAGTGGTTGTAGCAAAAAACACTAGTAGTTGCAGCTCCGACCATGGTCGGATCCGGCATCTCTCTATAGCACATCGTCGCCGACCGCACGGTGGCTGGGCTTGCAACATCCATAGCCACATTGTCGGGCGTGCGCCGGCTCCAGCATGGCCGTGCGCCGATCGCATCATCATCATGCGCTGGTTCCATCAAAAAACACGCCGCGCCGTTGC